ACAACGCGGCTACCCAAAGCACAATTTCTTAAATTCTCTAACTGCTTCGAAGGGAGATGGTTTGATCCTTTCCCACAATATATATCAAAATCAAAAATAAATCCTTCTTTATTGCAAATAGCCCACAGTTTCAAACCAAAACGTACAGGTTTACCTTTCATAAACTGCTTCAAGACTGTCCTACCATAAAATTTGATCATACATTCATCAATTGATAAAGCTGTGGAAAAAATCGCAAATTGTTGGCAGTTTTTTCGAAAAATATCTAAAGGAACATATATACGCCAAGCTCTATCATTTGCATTTTTGTCTTCATTTTTTGATAGCTTTATTTCTGATTTTATTTTTTCAAATTTTTGACGACTCATGGCTAATTTTACTAATTCGCAGACTAGAAAAGGATTATTTGACCAGTAATCTCTCTGACTTTTTCTTGAATTAAAGATCGATAAAATAATAATTCCTAAAAATGTGTTCAAGTCTTGTAGAGTAAGATCACCACCATTGCATACTGTTGCTTCTACTATAAATGCCTTTAATTCATCAGAAAAAAATAATTCAAACAAATCAGTCAGAGAATAATCGAGGATCTTTTTACGATCAGATTCTGAAAGAAAAACTTCACTTGTTAACTTTTCCCCATAAACTTTTTCGCCATCCAACCACTCATAAACATGGTTTGGTTCTAACTTCTTTTGATTTTCCGAATAGCTATCAAGAACTTGATTGTATAAAGTAGTAGGTATAAGATTTTCAAGGAATGAGCATACATCAATGTGATCATTTTCATTTTCTGAATTTGAATCAGACTCAGAATCTTGAGAATCGTCTAAACTGGGAATCATAATGACATCAAAATTCTCGTCATTTTCTTCGGTTTCCAACTATATAAAATCGTTATCCAACTATACAAATAAGAAGTGCTTTTTTACAATTTCACACATTTTTTCTTCAAAACTATGCAGTTTAACTAAAAATTTATTAGAACAAAAATATCTTAGAATTAATCAGGGAATGCTCTTGAATTTTTTCAAAATGTATTTTCAACTTTTTTGAAATTTCATTTTTTTGAATTTTTCAAAAATCAAAAATTGTTTCAAAACGTTTTGAAAAAATTTAAGAGTATTTCTTAGCCGATTTTAAGATATTTTTATTCTTATAAATTTTTTGCTAACACCTATACTTTCTGAGAAAAAAATTTATCAAGTTTAGAACAAAATTTTTTTATTTCGGCCGCCATTTTGCTTAGATGAAAAATTATTCAAATAAATGTCATCATCCTAACATTTAGTTCAGATATCGAGGACACCTTTCTAACCGGTTTTAGACCGATACAAAAATGTATAGGCTCCAGAAAATCAGTTTAAAAAAAAATTTTTTTTTTCAAAATCACGTTTTTTTTTTAATTTTGATTTTTTAGAGGTTAGAAATCTTTTTTTCGACTTCTGATTATCACCATTCGAAAGAGCACCCTCGAAAACATAGGGTACGGTTAGTTTTAAGTTATTTGAGTTCGAATTCATTGCGAGGTAACAATTCAAACTCAAACTTAAAAAATGTATCCTGTGGACGTTAACGGGTTAAGAAGAACAGTTCTTTGTTTATTATATAAGGCACATTCCCAAAAAATGTGTTCAATGGAATCATCAGACTGACCACATTGACACAAGCTACTTAATACAATGTTCTTTCTAAATAGACTCAAGTTTAGGGAGGTGTGGTTAGATCTAATCCTGTTAATGGAAACTATTGCTTTGCGTGGCAGACCTAGATCAAAGAACCAAGGTTTACTGTCAGCTGTATAAAAGTTTTCAAAGAAAAAAGAACCTTTTGAGGAATTTAGGTTCATTATTATATTTTCATTCTCTTCTTTGCATATATTCTTAGGAATGTTTAGAAAATCAGACATTGGAACCGGTTCATTGGTTAGGTAGCCATTTTTGGCTGCAGCTTTAGCTTTAAGATCAACAACTTCATTGCCATGGATACCCACGTGAGCAGGAACCCATGCCAATTTTATTAGAATGTTTTTATCGTGCGCTTGTGCTAATTTACATCTAAGATTAATGATTAATACTGAATCGCATGAATACGACATTAAAGTTCTAAGAACACTTTCTGAGTCTGAAAAAATGATATAGTTGCCGGAGCCTTTATCAATAATTTTTTCTACAACCAGTAAGAGAGCTGTACATTCAGCTGTAAAAATTGATGATGAATCCAAAATTCCATATTCAAAGCATAGGTCTTGACATTTGCTCCAAGCAGCAAAGCCAACACATGTTTTACTGTTTTCTGTAATTTTGGATCCGTCAGTAAACACAAATGTATAATCAACGTTTTCAGGAAATAAAGTATTAAACTGATTATTAGGCGATTTTCAGCTATTAATTTTCTTACCCTTATCTAACAGAATTGAAGGCGAGTACAGGAGATAGTTCAAATCTTTGAGACATTTGATATGCTTATTTAAACTGATCAAAGAATCTTTGAGAAACCAAACTTTTTTATAACATTCAGCCATAAGGAAGCTAGAAAAATTATTCGCAGAAATAAAATAGTCATTAACTAAATAATTTAACTGAATAATCTCCTCTATATTATTTGTAATTTGATACCGATTATAGGCCATACATTTAAGAATATATTTAAAACAGTTCAGCTTAAACCTGCATTGTAAATACGGGATTTTGGATTCAGCAGCCAAAACATTGATTGGAGTGCTGGTTCTGTAGCCCATCGTAATTCTTATGGCCGAATTCTGGATTTTTTGCAATCTTAAAATATATTTGTCATTGCATGGTGATATAAATAAGCCCCACCAGGTAGATCGTAAAAAGCTGAGAACTTTCAGTTTGAATAAACAGCTATTAGCTAATTTTTTGGTGTGTGAATTCCAATTAAGGCGACGATCTAACGTTAATCCTAAGAACTTAATTTCTTCAGAGAGAGTAATTCTGTGATTATCTATAATGATAAAGGCAGACTTATCAATATGCTTTATTGAGTTGTCGAAAGTCATGAGTACGCATTTTTCCGGCGCAAATTCTAATCCTCTGGATTTTAGCAAAGTTGAAACTTTGTTATACCCAACTTCTAGTGTAGATAACTGCTCAATATGGCTAATTTTGTTATTATTATAAATAACTATATCATCCGCAAATTCTAGATACATACAATTCTAGATGCATACAATTCGGTAAATCATTCTCGTATAAATCGCATACAGAAGTGGGCTAAGCACGCTACCTTGTGGAAGACCCTTATTGATAATTTTTTCAATGATTTTTGTGAATGTACAAAACGTGACTTTGCGTTCAAAAATAACATTTTTAATAAAGCTAATCATTTTTTTAGGTAACTTCAATTCAATAAGATCGTCAATCAAAATGTCAGGAATAACATCATTGTAAGCACCTTTGATATCTAAGAAGAGGGCAGAAACTGAATTTTTGGTGAAAAAATTCCTTTGAATATCGCTCGTTAGAATGCTTAAATTATCAATGCATGATTTGTTCTTCCTAAAACTAAATTCAGACGGGGACAAAATATCAAATTTTTCTGTCCACCATTGGAGTCTTTCTTTAACAAGTTTTTTCATAATTTTCAAAATATTCGAGGCCAACGATATGGGTCTAACTTTGCAAGAGTTTCCTTTAGGAATAAAAATAACTAAATAATCACTCCGGTCTTGTGGAAAATTTTGACCCTCATAAATATCATTATATATATCCAATAAGACTCTTTGATAAAATTCTGGAAGATTAATAATGATCTCATAGCTAATTTTGTCTAAGCCTGGGGCAGATTTAGCCTTGACATTGTTCAGAACACATTGTGAAAATTCAAATGAGAACGGGCTGTTTAAAAGGTCAAATTCCTCACATTTATTATCTAAATCATTAAGATTTTCTAGATTATTTAAAGCATTAGTACTAATTTTCTTTGGCGAACTTAATTCCACGGTAGAACTATATATATTTTGTTCAGTTTTCGCCCTGCTAAAAATGTAGGATTAAAAATGATTAAAAATAGGCCAATCATTTTCAATCCTAGATCTGAATCCTTAAAACGTCCATTGAAATGTATTGAAATAATACATCATAAAGCAAAATGATTAAAAATGATTAATGTGGATTTGATTAAATAAGATTTGAACGGATTAAATCGAATAATATTCAATACTTCTTAATGATAAATATTCGCATTGAATGATCGCATTTAATAAATTTTAATGTAATCCTAAAAAATAGGATTAATAATGACTAAAAATAGACCAATCATTTTCAATCCTAGATCTGAATCCTTCGAAAGTTGATTAAAATTTATTAAGATTTTACATTTTAAAGCACAGTGATTGAAAATGATTAAAATTGATTGGATCTGTGGCGGTCGAGCCCCGGTTGGTGCCGCCACCTGCGGGCCTGGGTCCGCGGCGGGAAAAACGGCTCCGGTTTGGATTAGCCAGATTAGGAGACGAGGCTTAGGGGGATGATGGCCGGATAATCCTGTTAGTCTGGTCATCCCTAAGCGGCTCTTAAGATTGCGCCCCGGCCTGGCGGCCTATATAAAGTCGCCCATCGCAAGGCAAAACGGACAGTATCTTCCGAACCGCTGCCCGTCAACAACCCGAACGCCGTACCAGCATCTACCACCGCAACAGGATACGACAGCACGTGTCATCGCCGCCGAGGAACATCATCGTCTGCTCATCCTGGAGCGTCAGCCGCTCTCTACTAACAGGCGTGCCCTGTTTGTGACGCTCACGGATCCCGACGCGCGCAAGTTTTCACACGTCGCTGTACAACGCCAACAAAAATAAAGATTTGTCTGTGTCGAACCAAAATTTGAATCTGGCGTGATCTCCCGCGCATTCTCCTGCCACTTCCTCTGTCCGGAACGAGTGTGGCTGCACTCACTGTCAACAGCCAAAGTGGTGACCCCGACGTGATCCTTGCGATCCGGATACCTGAGGAAGCACTACGACGGCAACTTCAATTATGCTGACCCGGAGCCCGCCGCGCTCCGTGAGCGTCGACGGCCGCACGACTCAGCCGCAGGAATCGGGACACACCGAGCAGGAAACACAGGCTTCCTGGGAGGCACCGGCGGAGATCAGCGCGCTGCGACATGTGGCGGTTCGCACACCGCCCTTTTGGAGGGACAATCCTGCAGCCTGGTTCACGCAGCTCGAGTCGCTGTTCGCCTGCCAGCAGATCAACTCCGATCTGCAGCGATACCACACCACCGTCGCCGGCCTGGACAGCGAGACGGTCGCGGACCTGATGGACGTGCTGCAGAACCCCCCCGCGTCCGGGAAGTTCCAGAACTTGAAGCAGCAGGTCTTGGCCCGACACGGCGATACTGCGCAGCGCCGCCTGCATAAGCTGCTGTCGGGCCTCTCCATGGGAGATCGCACCCCGGCGCAGCTCCTTCGGCACATGCGAACGTTGGCTGGCAATAGCATCACGGACGACGCGCTTCGGGTTCGATGGCTTCACCTTCTGCCATCGGCCACCTCGAGGATGCTGCGGCTCCTGCGGGAGGCGAGCTTGGACGAGCTGGCGCAGGCTGCGGACGAGCTGGCCGACACATCGCCGGACATCTGTGCGGTGCGACCCGCGCCAGATGCGACGGCGGACTCAGCGACCCTGGCCAAGATCGCAAAAGAGCTGTCCGCGTTGCGGAACTCCACGGATCGGATCCTTGAGTACCTTCGACCTGCGAACGGCGGCGCTCGTCAGCGCGGGCGCAGTCGCTCTCGCACTGGGGGCCGTGCCGCGGAGCAGGGAGAGCTCTGTTTTTACCACGAGCGTTTCGGGGACAAGGCGGAAAACTGCAGACCGCCGTGCGGCTACGCTCTCACCTCTGCAACACGGCCGGGAAACCGATAGTGCCGCCGCCCGTCTTGGCGGTCGACGGCGGCAGGGAAGGCGCGGAGACTCGACTGCACGTCGTCGAGCGAACGTCTCGGAGGCCGATGCTGATTGACTCCGGTTCTGTGGTGTCACTGATGCCTCGCTCTCTGGTGCCGGGCCGGCACGAACGGCAGCCGCTGGCCTTGGTCGCTGCCAATGGTTCTCCGGTGCGGACGTATAGTCGGAAGATGGTCAACCTTGACCTCGGCTTGCCCCGAGCGTTCTCTTGGCCGTTCGTCGTCGCGGATGTGCCGGGAGCTATCATCGGGGCCGACTTTCTGGCGCACACCGGCCTTGTGGTTGACCTTCGACACCGGCGCCTAATCGATGGAGACACGAACGGCTCCGCTCCTGCGCACGTGCGCAGAGCGGAGGTCCACGGGATCGCGCTTGTGGCCGACGCCGCAAGCGATGCTTATCGCAGGCGGTACGACCGGCTGCTGGTAGAGTTTGACGACTTGGCCGAGCAGGGAGGTCGAGGCGCGACTCTTGGCGGCGTGGAGGTGACACATCACATCCACGTAGTCGGTCCACCAGTCCACGAGAAGCCCCGTCGCCTCGCGGGGGATAGATTGGCGGCCGCCCGGGCCGCAGTCGACCGACTTCTCCGGGCCGGCGTCGTGCGGCCCTCCTCGAGCCAGTGGGCCAGCCCCCTGCATGTTGTACCCAAGTCGGGCGGAGGATGCAGGGTGACCGGCGATTACCGGCGACTCAACGCGAATACGCTGCCGGATCGCTACCCGCTGCCCGTGATAGAGGATTTCCTGGAGGACGCGAGAGGATGTTCCGTTTCCTCGGTGATCGACCTACAGGAGGCCTATTACCAGGTGCCGATGGGGGAGGAGGATGTGCGCAAGACGGCGGTCGCCGCCCCCTTTGGGCTCTTTGAGTTTGCGCGGATGCCGCTTGGGCTGCGCAACGCCTCGCAGACTTTCCACCGTTATATGGACAGTCTCCTGCGCGACTTGCCATTTGTGCGGAACTACCTGGACGATCTGCTCGTGGGGTCCCCCTCCCACGAGGAGCATTTGAAGCATTTGCGGTCGTTGCTGGAGCGACTGAGAGAGGCGGGACTTTCAATCAAGCTGCCGAAGTGCCAGATCGGACAATCAAGGGTGTTGATTCTGGGTTACGAGGTGTCCGCCGACGGCTTTCGGCCGCCGACTCAGCGCATCGCGGCCATCGCCGAGTTCCCAAGGCCGGGCACTGCACGGGGCCTGCGAAGATTCCTTGGAATGGTAAACTTCTACAGGAGGTACCTTCCGTACGCGGCGGAGGACCAGGCGCCGCTGAGCGAGATGCTGAAGGGGCGTGCAAGGGGAAGCCGGAGACCACTATTCTGGACCCCGTCTGCCGACGCGGCCTTCCGTGCGGTTCGCCGCAGTCTAGCCGGAGCGGTCGGGGCCGCTTTTGTCGAGCCGTCAGCACCGCTGGCGCTGGCTACCGATGCCTCCGACCTGGCCCTGGGTGCCGCCCTCCAGCAGCAGGTAGAGGGTGTCTGGCAGCCCGTGGGCTTCTTCTCCCGCAAGCTCACTCCAACGGAGCGTCGATACAGCACGTACGACCGGGAGCTTCTGGCGGTCTACGAGGCTGTGCGGTACTTTCGCCGGATTCTGGGGGGGCGAGCATTCGCGGTGTTGACCGATCATCGGCCGCTGGTTTACGCGGCTCAGCGGCCGTCCGACCGGGCGTCCCCGAGGCAGCAGAGGCATCTGGACTACGTGCTGCAGCAGAATGTGGAATTCAAGCACATTAGGGGCGAAGATAACCTGGTGGCCGACGCCCTGTCGCGTACCGACGATTCGGCGGGCCTGGAGGGGCTGTCGGCGCCCCAGGACTCCTCAGCGGGGTCGCAATGTGCCACGGTTGGCATGCCTTCGCCCTTGGGTCCGGCGGTGATCAGCGAGGCACAGGAGGCAGACACTGAGCTGCCCAAGCTGTTCGAGGCCGGCGTGCTCGACCTGAGGCGGCTCGAGCTGGATGGGCACCGGGTGGCGTGCAGCATAGCCGACCGGGTGGTGAGACCCTATCTGCCGCAAGGGTTACGTCGGCGCGCCTACGAGGCCGCACACGATCCGGCTCACCCCAGCATCCGCGCCACGATAAGAGCTGTTACGGAGCGCTACATCTGGCCGGGAATTAGGAAGGACGTGGGGCGCTGGGCGCGCAGCTGCGAGGCGTGTCAGAGAGCCAAGGTCCAGCGACATAACCGGGCCAAGCTGTCGCTCTTCCAGGAGCCGGACAATCGCTTCGAGCACATCCACGTGGACATCATTGTGATGCCGCAGGTCAGGAGCTTGCGGTATTGCTTGACCGTGCTTGACCGCTTCACGAGGTGGCCGGTCGCGGTGCCCTTGGCGGATATTCGGGCGCAGACCGTGGCGCGAGCACTGGTGGAGCACTGGATCGCGGACCGAGGCTGCCCACTCACGATAACCTCCGACAGGGGCATGCAGTTTGAGTCGGCCCTGTTCACCGCCTTGGCACAGTTTATTGGAGCGGAGCGGGTGCGCACCACACCGTACCATCCCCAGGCAAATGGCATGGTGGAGCGGTTCCACCGAACCTTGAAGGCGGCCCTGATGTGCCATCCTCAGGTGCCCTGGCCGGAGAGCTTGCCCCTGGTGCTCCTTGGGCTGCGGGGCTGTTTCAAGGAGGACCTGCAGGCATCCTCGGCAGAGATGGTTTATGGAACAACTCTGCGCATGCCGGGGGAGTTCTTTGTGGCGACGAGCTGTTCGGCGGATCCGGCGACTTTCGTGGCGAGGCTCAGGGCGCTCATGGGCGCCATACGACCGGTGTCGTCATCGGATCACTCGGCCCGTAGGCCCTTCTATCTGGCGGACCTGAAGACCTGCTCACACGTCTTCCTGCGCGGGGAGGCGATCCGAAGGCCACTGGAGCGGCCGTACTCTGGTCCGCACGAGGTGATTAAGCGCATCAGCGAGAAGGTCTACGTAATCAGAGTCGGTGGGGCCGAGAGGACGGTCACAACGGACGCGCTAAAGCCCGCCTATCTCGACTCGGTTGGGGCGCCGGCCCCGCATGTGGAGGAGCCAGGGAGTCGCGGACCGGCGGCAGCTGAGCGACCGCCGCCCGAGGAGACGCTATCGCCTGCAGCGTCTTCTCAGTCCTCCTCGTCGGAGGCGGCATGTGAGCCGCCACTCGGGGAGGCGGTCGCGGCGAAGGACGGCGCAGCGTCGGCGGCAGTACCACCGATCGCGGCGGGCGCCGCGGAGGCACTTCTGGCCGGGGACCAGCGGGCCCGGGCGACGCCGCCCCGGGTGATGCCGGCGCGCCATAGGCATATGCCCAGCATCCTGCGGAGAACCACATCGCTCCGTTCGACCGGTGCGAACGTCTCTGGGAGGGGAGTGGCTGTGGCGGTCGAGCCCCGGTTGGTGCCGCCACCTGCGGGCCTGGGTCCGCGGCGGGAAAAACGGCTCCGGTTTGGATTAGCCGGATTAGGAGACGAGGCTTAGGGGGATGATGGCCGGATAATCCTGTTAGTCTGGTCATCCCTAAGCGGCTCTTAAGATTGCGCCCCGGCCTGGCGGCCTATATAAAGTCGCCCATCGCAAGGCAAAACGGACAGTATCTTCCGAACCGCTGCCCGTCAACAACCCGAACGCCGTACCAGCATCTACCACCGCAACAGGATACGACAGCACGTGTCATCGCCGCCGAGGAACATCATCGTCTGCTCATCCTGGAGCGTCAGCCGCTCTCTACTAACAGGCGTGCCCTGTTTGTGACGCTCACGGATCCCGACGCGCGCAAGTTTTCACACGTCGCTGTACAACGCCAACAAAAATAAAGATTTGTCTGTGTCGAACCAAAATTTGAATCTGGCGTGATCTCCCGCGCATTCTCCTGCCACTTCCTCTGTCCGGAACGAGTGTGGCTGCACTCACTGTCAACAGCCAAAGATCAATCAAGATTCAAATGGATTAAATTTGATAATATCGAATACTTTTGAATGAAAAATATTCTCATTGAATGTATACTATTCAATAAGTTTTAATGTTTGTAATTTTGTAATTGTAATTGTTTAAGTTATAATGATCCTGATATTCTATTTCTATAATTTTTAATCATTTATTGGAAAATATAAAGAGACTTAATAACCTTGAATCATTTTTAATGAATTTAGGATTAGTTTTATTCTTTTTGAAATGTTTTAATAATTTTTTATGCCATTCAATATTTTCTAATAAAGCACGAGTTATTTAATGATAGCTAATCGATTACTTATCAATATGAATTACATCTCCATTTCAATAATTTTCAATGATCTAATTTTGGAATTTTTTATTGACAAATCAAGAAAACTTCAATTAGCTAGATAGAAAAGGTCAACTTTTAGAAAAGAAAAATTAAGCTATAAACGTATTACCCAATTAAATTCAGTTTTTCAATATTAATTTCAGATGATGTTACCAGATTCATTTATAAAAATTAGTTTGACTATTTCATTATTACTTCATTTATACCTGCATATTTAGTATTTTACCAATTAGCAATCATATACTCACTGAATAGATATCCGATTGAAACGACGAGCATAGAAGAATTAATAAAGAGGCATGATATAAAAAATAGCTTACTTAACTATTGTTTTTATTACAAGACAACAAATACATACATATTTGTCAATTATTTTAAAGACGGTCTCAAACGTCAAAACAAAGAAAATTACATTTTAAAGTCATTTGTGAGCGCTTAAACATTAAAAATAATAAATATTAAATAAATAAATATTTACTTAAAAATAAATGAACAATAGGAAATAAAAGTTAAATAGAGAAGGTCGAGGGTGAGTGTGGTTTAATATACCCACACATCCTTTGACCCACTGTAAAATAAAATATAAATCTATGATTCTTCATCAGAAGAAGATACCAATAGGTCTTCATCAAACATATTTTCTACGTTATCAGCACCTTTCTCTTCTGTTTCCACAGTTGTTAAGGGATCGAGACTGAAACTATTCTGAGATTTAGGAAAATCTGAAGGTGATACAAACTCAAAAGTATCATCTAAAGGATTACGTGGTATTTCTGATTTTTTTTTGGTTTTGATGCTTTTGGTGGTTTCAGGTTTGAAATTTTCTTAGTTATATACTCTTTAAAATTGGCTATTTGTTCAGAACGGTTGTATGTCTTCATTTGCCTTTTTGTCAGTTCTTGTTCATAGTAATGTTCTAACCAATGTATATAATATGCTGAAAATTGAAGTTGATTTTTCTATTGTAATTTTTTCTATGTATTAGATTTCTTGTCGATTTCATTCAGATTCATATAGGCTATCACTATCGATATTAAATTTTGACTTTTTGCTAATAAAAATGGACTTAATTCTATAGCAAAATCAATAATGCCATCGTATTCTACGTTTAAAAATATATGAAAAACAAATATAAAATTATCGAAAATGATGCTTGACGGTCTTTGTATTTCAAAGAAGTACGAGTACAAATCTGGCTGATCTGTGGAGTATGAATAGAAGTAATTTATTTACTGGATTTTTGGAGAGATATTAAAAACTATTTTCAACAATGGTGTACATAATTTCCACGTATTTTTTTCGTAAAATACGATGGTGCTATTGGTTTTTGTTGGAACCCCTCCAAAAACACTAGAAGTGAAATTCGGAATCGAAAAATACAAAAAAATGCATTAATTAATAAAAATTATAAAAACGAAAAATAGCATATTCTCACCATTTGAAACAGCTTTCCGATGGACTGCACAACAAAATACACCCTAGCTTTCAGTTTCATTATAAAAAAGTCAAAATTTAATATCGATAGTGATAGCCTGCATGAATCTGAATGGAATCGGTCTTCTATATTTTTAAATAAATTTCTATATCATTTTATCATAATCAATCATTTTCAATTGTTACCCCTTCGTAAAAAAGAGAACCGAGAAAAGTAAAACAAGTTTGTTTATGTTCTTATTGTTTGGGAGATCGTCATGTGATCTCTTACAAAGCGACAGCTGATTTTCTTTACGTTCGTTGAAAATTAGTGTAGAGCGCACGCAATTGAAAGTTCGAAAAGGCAATTATGTTAGCATGAATTACTTTTCTTTTAAGGAACCTCATAATTACTTTTCTATAAAGGAATCAAAGCGGGATAACTAAGCAATATCAGTGATAAATTTTTTTAGACGCATACAAATTAAATTCTTATAACGGATTCTTGTTCCTCTCCGAAAATTCTATCAAATTGAGATGTACTGACGTTTTTAAAATATCTATAAGCTTATTTTAAGAGCGAATAAAAAAATATTTTGTTTTTGGCGGACAAAGCGGGGTACCCAATAAAAATCCATTATTTACATTTATAAATTTAAGGTGAAATTTTGATTACTAATTCATCATCTCCCATAACTATTCTTGTGGTAATATCACTGTCTAATGCAACATCAGGTATATCATTTATTAAAATAAATTATTTAAATTCTATATTTTTTCGAATAAATCGTTTCGTTAAAAACGTTAGATTCGTAATCAGCGAGCGAAAAAACATCGTAAATCATACATAACGAACATATATAAAGTAATTTGATTATAGATCGAAAAATTTTTTGGAAAAAATGGATCCCCGCTTTGTCCTACCTTGATATTTTAAAACTTTTCCTGTTGAACTGGCTTCACTCAATGGAAATTAAAATATAACGAGTGTTTTTATAGCTTGATCGACGTACTTGGAGATGAGTATATTAAATTTTAGTATCAATTCTTATTTGAGTCTGTATTTTACGAATTAAAAAATGTAAAAACCTGTGAAAAGAGTAGTCAAACGGACGTTACACTCCGTTCGATATATACATCCCACTATATTTTTATGCACGCAGTTATTATAACATTTATAGGTTCTTTTCAAGGGAAAAGAATCTATAGAAGACTGGTCCTGAGTCGTGAAAATGCTCCTAACAAAAAACATCACCGACACCCAGCTTTGCCCACTCTTATTCTATAAAACAAATAAATCTTGTACAGTGCTTACCTTTGCAAGCATTAACCTTTTTGGAATCCAATTTATTAACGTGATTCTCCTTGTTATTCACTTCTTCGTCATCGTTATCATCTTCCAACTCTTGGTTATCGAGATTATATTTTTCAGCAAGTTTCTTATCTTTTCCTTTACGGTTGGTTGTACGACCAGTTAGTGTACTGACTAATAGCACACTCTTCTTGAAAACGGATAAAAGGATGTTACCAACGAACATGCTTGGACTTGTAGAGTCCGCTATTAAACTAGCATGCGTTTCTTCGTCCATCCATTCACCTAGGCCTAAATGTATCTACATAAAAAATATAATGATCATCTTAACAAATCTCATATTAACCCATTAAACGCCAAGCCGAATCTAGTCGAGATAGCATCAAACTAACTATTGTATCCGTGGCATGACTAAAAATTGCCCGTGTTTTACCTTTTAAAATTTGCAATTGTTTATAAAAGGTTATTTTAACTAGTTACCAAAAACTTGTTTAATTAAAAAAGCTAATAGCGGCAATTGATTCTACGGGAAAAATTATGAAAGAAACCTGTATAAATACTTTTTTTCAGAGTTCAATTTGTTGGTGAAAAATCGTTATAAATAATTTCAGTTCAGCCAGAGATGCCAAACTCGCTATATCTAGAAAAGAAATTTTTTATTTATTTGTATTTAAAAACTAAAAAAAAATACAACATTTTAAAAAAATAACGAAATACGAATAAATAAAAAAAAGATACGTGTCGTGAAACACGCGTAGGAATGAAGTTTCTTTCATTTGTCTCCGCCGATGAATGAATAAGGAAAGGTGTAACTTTTTTGTCTAATTTGATTACTGGTATAACAATAAAAATATGTGAGTATATATGTGAGTATATGTGGTGTAACGGGATCGATTCCGTTTAATTATTTAATTCGCGCTATTATTCTAAAAGGGAGCGCGTAACTGTCAATGCTCAATACGTATCCAGGAGAGAATGAGAAAATATACGCTAGTCAACCAGTAATCGTGAATAACCTACAATAAATTAAAAAGTGAGTAGAAGCTAAGAGATATAAGAGAATCAAAAGAAAACACCTGTTAGTAATACGAACGGGATCTTTTATTATTCCTTATACTCTACAGAAGGTCGGCCCGCGCGTTTGTTTACGTTGACGCTCGCTCTTCGACAACACGCTTTGCCGGTACGCTCGCCGCTCTTTGTTGTTAGAGCCGTTACATGCACGCATCGAACATTAGAAATTAGTTATAAATCATGCGAACCCGAGCGCGTGATTAAGCTGGCCAGCTTACCTTATTTTTGCAGGCGGTCGGAGAACACAGCGATAAATCGCACAGCGCAGAACAGTTATTATTGTTCGTCGTTCACGGATCGCGAATGCGCGCACACACTGGTTTCGCCCTCGATGGCGAAACCTCACACACTCTGCCTCTCTCTCGTCCTGGTCTCGAGCTGGTGAATCACTGACACCTCGGTGGCAGCTGTTCCGGGTATCTGGAGCTGGTCGTATGTCACTAATCTGGTGCGTGGTCGTCAAGGGCACGTGAGTTTGCGGTAACGAAAACGATAAGCGGGCGGACACTACGATGGTCTAAGCTTTACTGGTTCGATTTCAATCGCGCGCGTTCCGTCTGCTCGCGTGCCGAATTCCTTCGTTACGTATTTTGTCCCCCCGGCAGGTGCTGCCCTCACAGGTAGCAATTAAGTTGAATAATCAGCGCTAATTTGACGTTTACCGTCACAGTGGAATAATATATAAGACTATAAGTGAGTATGTATAATCATATAAATCCATCCTTATGCGGACGCGCTTCGCCTGACAATCCACCCTTTTTAAGTAAGTTTCGGGGTAGTTAAGGTTTGTTCGCTTGGAGTTCGAAGCCGACGCCTTTACACTCGGAGTGTGTGTCGAAAGTACTACCCTTAGAATCCCTTTCGTAATTATCGGCATATTTCTTAATATCTGTATAATTTAGGTTCGGTGGGTAAGATTTTTAATGTGCTGGTGCAGACGTCCGTATAAGTTAACTCAATATCTGCATAGACTGAGAATATTGTCTGCATATAAATATTATGATTCATGCAGATATATGCGAGTATATATGTATATATAGATATACATGTATGTATATACGCGTATATTCTCAACAACAAAAATTTGCGTTTGACGGGTTTCGCGTGTTGTTTTTGAGTGTACCTTTTCGCGTAATGTTTCACTTTTTGCCGGCTAGATCCCCTTCGCCAATCCGAAATAAGAAACTTCGTTCCAAAAAAAAATTCTTTTTGCGATACAACGGGTTCGGCATCTCGGCTAGATTCGGCTTGGGGTTAAAAAGTAATTCAATCAATTCAGATCAATATACATACGCCTTTGCCTTCGACCAAGTATCCTATCGGGAAATCGTTTAATTGTGGATTTATACTTTTTTCCGTGGAATTATAAATTTGGTTTTTTTGATCCATAAGAACTGGAAAATAATGTATCGAATATGTGAGAATAAGAAACATAAAAAAATATAATATTCAGAATTTTTATTGATGAAAAAATATTATTTATGTTACGGTGTGTAGGTTACTTCAAAGTATGTGCGCGTGCGTTCAGTTCTTAATTGTTATAATTTTTGAAGCATTTTATATACAAATAAATTGATTATCAATTGAAATTTATTAAACTATAATTACAAAATGCACACATTATTTACAAAAGAAATTTTAGTATCCGATTGCTAAATCACAAAATCTTTTCAATCATCAATATTTTCAGTAATTGTTAGGGCAGTGCACTTTTCATGCACGTGTAAACATCAATGTATACAAATGCAAGCACACGCGTTGAGAGAAAGAAGCAGGAGTTAAGCACACAATGGAAGCGAAAGAGTCAAACGCATACGCACACTATAGCGCTCATACAGCGCTTGATGCTGCCTTAGTATAAGTTAAGAAGATAGACGCTTAAGCGTTTATTTTCGTTGGTATAAGCGAGAGAGAGATTGAAAGAGAGAAACTCCATCCATGTCGTTAGTTTTGCCTTACGAAGTTCATGAAGGATCGAACAAAGCAATTGAAAGTGAGGTAAATTCTCTGATTTTTGCGGAAAAAAATTATTTTCTTGATTTTTTAATACAAGAGTTTTTTATTACCACAGAAAAGTTTCATGGTGTTGAAAATAAAGGTTGAATGACAAAGGTACATTTTTATTTTTTAGTAACAATTTTTTTTTCAACCCCTATTTTAAACCTCTTTAGAATAATTTCGGTAAAAAATAAAGACGCTCATGAATTCAGCGACCTCAAAATTTCCTGGGAACTATTTCTTTTTAATTAAGGAAAGTTAGAAAACCATTGCCATTCAAGGGGTTAAATATTTGCGCATGTTACTTTTCTATACCAATAGATCATCAGAGAACGGTGGTAAGTTCTACGCTTTCCTGAATAACCGTAGCTATCAGCGAATTAAGCTACGGGAAGACGGTAGAGATTATCGCGTTCAAATTCAGAAGCCGAGCGCTCTGCCGACTAAAATGTACATGTGCAAAATAGTTACAATATGAAAATAAGATAAACACAATTGAAGAAGGAAGAAAAGTTCACAATCACATGCGACTATAATTACTAAAACTTAAAATAAATATATTAATTTATAATAATAAAGGGGTAAATCTTACTAAACTATGTCAAATCGGTGCAACAATCAGTTCACGAAATATTTTAAAAAGAAACCGATTGAAAAAGGTGTACCAAGGTTGGCAAATATATACAAATACAACCCATACAAATATATAATTACCACAACCAAAAAAAACTATAGAAGTCGTCACCTACTTCTTAATAAATCTCACCGAATCTGCGTCAAATTCAACAGCAGTGAGACATCCTGTTCACGAAAGATGTAGCACTGAAATTGTTACGTGATTATATATACAGGACATAGTCCATATTAGGGATCTCCGATTAAAATCGATTTTTAAATAATTGCTCCATTATTTCGGTCGTAAAATTTATTAGATTATTTCAAGTATCAATTATTGATAGCAATGATTCATTTTTTGACCATTTTTTTTTCTTTCTTTGAAAATTGCAATTGAAGAATTCTACAAATTGAAATTTTTTAATTATTGTCAACAGTAGTTTTTTATATAGCGGGTAATACCCTCAAAGCAATGAATGCTTTTTTATTGATATAATATCGCTCATAAAACAATTAAAAATTATAAAAACTTATTAAAAAGTATTTGAAATTATTCATAATGATAAAAAGCTATTCAATTAAGGGGTAATAAAATTGTCGCGACGGCTACAGTAAAACCCCGCGCCACCCGGGCATTGCAAAATAAGGTTCGCGCCAGGTAGGGCAATAAAATTGGGGCGACAGTTGTTAGGAAAAGCCCAGAGACTGTTTTTGGGGAAACCTCAGAGATGAGTTTTGGTGAAAACGGAGAGTGCGCTTTATTGCTTTTGAAGCCTGCAAAAAATTATGGCCTCGAACTTGAAAAATTCGAGTTAGGGAGAGTCGAGTTCGAGTTATGGGTGTTCGAGTTACGGAGGTTCGACTGTAATAAGATGCAATTTGCAAGCAATAATAAAAATACGCTGCCAGCTGCTCTGGCGGGATTCACTACCTTGAATACATTTCTACATTTTTTATGAAAAATATGGTTACAAAATTATAAATAAGCCATTACATGTAGAAAAATTATGTCTTAATTTAAAGTTACAGCGATTTGTGGAAGTTAGTTGTAAATTAACCACCTCCCGAAATTTGTATAACAATTTTACTAATGGATAGATCATGCTTGGAGATCTACCCCCCCCCCCCCCCTCTTCCTTGAATAATTTCCAAACATATGAACAAAGATTCATTGAAATTCATCCCATCCCCATCCCATACCTGTCTAGGGTTTAAGGGACATAGCGCCTAGAGTTTGTGGGTTGAAGCACTTGGGGTTTACCTGCCTGGAATTTAAGAAGCGTATTAGCGCCTAGAGTTTGTGGGTTTAAGCACTTGGGATACATCTATCTGAGGGTTTAAAGTGCATATAGCGCCTACAGTTTGTTGGTTTAATCATTTCGGGTTTACTTATCTGGGATTTAAGGGACATAGCGCCTACAGTTTTCGGGTTAATGCACTTGGGGTTTACCTGTCTGGGGTTTATGATAGCGCCTAGAGTGTGTGGGTTAAAGCATTTGGGGTTTAAGAAGCATAGCGCCTAAGGTTTGTGGGTTAAAGCATTTGGGGTTTAAGACGCATAGCGCCTAGGGTTTGTGGGTTAAGGCACTTGGGGTTTACCAGTCTGGGGCTTATGACGCTCAGAGCCTAGGGTTTGTGGGTTAAAGCATTTCGGGTTTAAGACGCATGGCACTTAGGGTTTGTGGGTTAAAGCATTTGGGGTTTACCAGTCTGGGGCTTATGACGCACAGAGCCTAGGGTTTGTGGGTTAAAGCATTTGGGGTTTATCTGTGTGGCATTGAGACACACAGCGCCTAGATTGTGTGGGTTAAAGCACTTGGGGTAAAGCTGTTTTAGGTTTAAAGCGCATAGCACCTAGCGTCTTTAAGTGAAAGCATTTGGGTTAAACTGTCTCGGGTTTAAGACTTTCAGCGCCTACAGATTGTGGGAAAACATTAAAAATTCATGCTTTACCTTTTTTCAATTCGGAAATCACTACATTTCTTAGTTTTTGATTCTATTTTTCCCTGTATTGGTGGAGAATGTATATTCACTGTTTGGCTGCTATGTTGCGCTGCTCTGCTTTGCTTCATGTCCTCTCGGTCGGATAACTCTTTCTTGATGAAAGTCGATAATAAATAAGATAAGCGAACTCTCGATATCCGAATAAATGTAAATAATAGTTAATTCAGTTTCCAATAATAATCAATAATTAACTTTCAAACAATAAATATTTCAAGATAATAACTCGATATAATAATTTAATGTAATAATAATTCAATATAATAATAATTCACCTGACGGACATTGATTTTGTCCACCTTTTTTTGAATTTTAACATTGGTTAGCATAGGGAAAAATTCAAAAAGTGGACAGAATCAATATCCGCCAAGGGTACAACTCACTATAAAAGCTTACTGTATATACCACTAAAAATTACTTTCTTTATAATTATGAATAGCTTACTATCATTACGAATAATTTTCAGTAGTTTTTGATAAGTTTTTATAATATTTAATAACCTTTTATCAACAAAATATCAATGAATGCGCATTAATTGTTTTCAGTTCATTCACGTTCGTATTAATAGATAGATACAATTAATATCAATTTCTATTACCTTCCAATGAGCTAAACTAAAATTTTATGTTGTAGGCTCAAACTCTACAATTGTTACTACTGAAAATGATACATTGGAAATTGAGGCAGAAGCTCCAAAATCTTCGCCAGAATCAGGTAACCCGCGTTGTCAAGTTGACACAAGTCCTATTGCTATAGACACTAGAGATGGTGAAATCACGAACAATAGTGAGAAGCCTACTTTATGCACCCATACCGAACAACCCGAAGAGTATATTATCAATTCAGACGAACTCATTTCTTCTTCAGAAGAACATGAGTTTGACGAACTTTTGGAGTTTACTGATATTGAGGATTTGCAATATGAAGTAGATTTTAGTGATAGTAATAGTGATAATGATGATGAAAATAGGGAAAATCAGAAAATTGACTATTTGAATCAGATCATGTTTCGCGAATCGAATTTAAAGGTCCGAGATGTCATTACAATGATTACAGCATTGTCGTTAGATTTAAAAATGTCTGATGAAGGGAGGTTGAAATTAGGTAAATTTACTAAAATATTGGCTGGAGAAAAATTTGATAAATTAAATCTGTCTAAGTACATGATGGATAAGTGCTTTTCAACGCAAGACGAACACGTTACTTATCACTTTTACTGTAGTGGTTGTTCTGCTGTAAAGGTCGAAGAAAAATAATGATTCGGTAATACAGTTAACTTCAGGAGAATTCGCGAAAATAATTCATATCACCGAATATAATTCAAACGCGTACATTCAAATACGTATTTTTAAAACATTACCAGAAGATCCTTTCCCAGGAGTCGAACATATCAAACTAATTGTATCTGAGTGCGATGAAAAAATTGTTAGGCGCTTTAGCGATATAGACGGTAAAGTTGTATTGGTAAATGCTCGTAGTGCGAGATATTTATGCAAGTTGCCTAACAATTTCGAAGTTCAGTAATTTTCTAATATAATTTTCTATTTTCTATATTTTTCACTAATATCCCTGCTAAAATGTATTATTGATAATTTTTCAAGTTAATTAAATTTTAATAAAATTCAATCGATTTTAATGATACGCTGGTTTTCAATAAACATGTCGATACATTTACATAAGTATCTAGCATTTATAGCGTTTACTAATATAATTTTACACTTTATATCTCACTTACGGGCTTTACAATTTTATTTGTGCACTCAGATTTAATT